TGTACATATTAACATGAGGGCCTGCAAGGGGGGTATTGATTACGAATTACGCCAAATTTTCGCCGCCGATTACGAATTACGTTAAATTCTCAGAGCTGATTACGAATTACGTTAAATCATGAGGATTCCCGACAGTCTAAAACACAGCAACTAATAGTTCTACGTCAATACTATTGACTTTGTGTTGATATTATAAAGCGCATAGGCGGTAGATTCAGGAGTTTTTTTGGAGTGAAGACAAGTTCTGGCGGGTGCCAAAATCACCCGAAATCGGGTGCGAACCGGCGGCTGCCGAAGGCACTGGGCGATAGGTGACGATGAACCTTTTCATAACCACTGAGCCATGGCGATAGAGGAAGAAACATTTATAAATATTATAAAATTATGCTGTGGATACTGGCTTCCTAGTCGTGGCCTAACCCACTCATGTCACCTGCCAGAACGGGGGGAATATCACTACACAACCACCGAGATTTTAAATGTTGATGGGGGGGGGGGCAAGATTTCAGCGAGCGCCGCAGGCGCGAGCCTGCTAGGGGGGTCCGGGGGCATGCCCCCCCTGGAAAGAATGAATTTTTAACCTCTCTGAAACGCTATTTCCAGCATTTTGAGACCTAAATTTTGGTTGTGGATTGGACCATTTTGAAATCAGCCTACGCTCTTATGATCTCATGGATTACGATTTACGTCGCATAAAAGTAACTAATTACGCTTTACGGAGAATAAAAACGACCAATTACGCGTTACGGCTAATGTACCGATTACGAATTACGATGATTTTGGACGGCCGCCTACGGATTACGAAGGCTAAAAAGGCCTGATTACGCCTTACGAAAAAGGGCTTGCAGGCCCTCATATATAAATACTGACAGGATTGAATGTTACAAAAACGATTTGATTCAAACAGAAATGTTTGTACATGAAGTAGTATTTGAGTATTGTACATTGTTGACAGACATTTAAAAGAATATTAAACCTCTTAAAAGTGAACCAACAGATCTGCTAGGAGATTAGCAGAACTACCCCCGCCTGCCATGCCGATGAGAGATTGAGAGTGATGGCGCTCCCCCGGGGAAATAACCACTGATGGATCCTCCTGTGTGATGACAAACCGTCATGGCCCGGTCTTTCTGATTATAAACTCCCATCTACATCTCTGTAGAAACCTCCCCACTCTGATGTAAAACCTGATGACTTTTCCCTCACGGAAAACACTGATGATGGGAGGTACAGATTATGGGGGATGCAAATGATATACTGATTACCAAGCTTTTTGTTTGAAACAGAAGTGAATCAAGTTTGACCATGGAGGTATCTTTTTATCTCCACGGTATTGAAATAGAAGTTCTACTTCTTTTTGTGTTCTAACATAAAATGGATGTAACAATCTAGCCTCTACCGCTTTGTCACTCCCGCTTCTCTCTATTTGGCCGATTTCTACTCTTTTCAGCCGCCTCCGAAGCCTGGTAGAGGCTACTAACAATCACGGCCGGCCTTTCTGATTATAAACTGCCATCTACATCTCTGTAAATTCAGTAAATCTCTCCGCTCACATGCAAAACTTACAGGTCTCCTGATGACTTTTCCATCATGGGAAACAGACACACTGATGGGAATATGATGAAGATGTATAGAAGTATTTAGGGTGAAACAAAAGAAGGAATCCGGCGGCCGGATCTGATTTGCAAAATAAAAGAAAAAAGAAAAAAGCCCCAGAATCAAGTCCAGACTTTCCTAAAAGTCCCTTCTCTTCAGAGTTGTTTAAGTTTTTCCATCTATCAATGCAGTGATTTGATTTAAAGTTTGAAATTTCATTGTTTGAATTACAAAACAGCCTGGTATGTTGACTTCATGGCTCCTATCATAGCATTTGGGGCTATCATAGGAGTAGGCTGGATTTTTCCCCCTGTTGCTTCATATTTTTTTCTGAAAAAATCCTAGAACCAACAAGTCAAATTGGTGTGGCACTAGGATGAAACAAAAGAGGGATTCCCCTATCCGCATGTGGCCGGGCGGTGTCCGCATTCCGACGGCAGATTATTTATTTGTCTTGCTTATTGAAGAATGCGGCATAATACGCCGCACATTGGGGATGTTTTGATGGACGGCTGAATATGTGAGGCCTGGAAGTGGTTGGTAGTCTCGTAGCAGGCGTCTCGGTGGGTGTTTTGATCGAGGGCTGAATATGGGAGACTGCCGAAGTGGTTGGTAGCCTCGTAGCAGGCGCCTCGGTGGGTGAGAGCAATTAAAAGTCTGCATGGCAACAGTCTGGCACCGAGGCTATGTGATATCACCAGCCATTTGAACCAGCTTTAATAGAGTGATACAGCTCTAGAAAGTACCGCATTGTACTAGTATTTTTAAAGAACTTCACTACATGTAGTTATATTTTTTTGGGGGGATACACATGCTTTTCTCTTTGCTTCATTATAGTAGCCTGGTTACCAAACCTATTATAGCTCCCGAGTCCTACATCCTCTCCTCTATTTGCGGACGGGATGTAGGACTCGGGAGCTATAATAGGTTTGGTAACCAGGCTATCATTATAGCTGCGTTTTGACTGCTGCCATTTCCAAGCAGATGTCTTGATGGCCACAATACAGCATCAAGTTGACGGTCAGCATCAAATTGCTTACAAAATATACATTTGGCAGTGAGGTATCCACCAGTACGCCACAGTTTGGCTGACGAAAAAATACCGGTACAAAAAAGAAGGCCCGATGAAAACACTATCGGCTCGCGTCTGGTGCTGGGTGTATTGTCCCGTACTCGCCCCGGCCGGCGGGTCGGACAAAAGAGCTCCATTCTCCACACATGACCCTGCGTGACCTTTTGTAAATCCTATTCAGGACGATTTACATCGCCAAGTGGTCTGTCCTCTTATTACTAGTATACCCTCAGTTTTCTGCTAACATTTGAATAGCTGAGAAAGAACGGCTGAACAAGTACTTTTCAAGTAAACTTAATCAGTCACAAACACATTGTTTTTAACACTATTAAAAACGTATGTCTTATAAATGTGATCATGCTTTCAGCCACCGGTGCTGTTGAATTGTTAGAATAAATCTAAAACCTCTACAAGAATTTTGCCTCGACCTCTCTTAGTACGAATGGTACATCCCAACCGTAGGGTTTTTCCAACAAAAAAAGTTTTACTTTTTAATATGAGTAACGTTAACAGGGGTACTGATTTTTTGAATCAAAACTGTCATAAAATCAGTCTAAGAATTGCGAATATCTTTAGTTTCTTAGTCGCTGATGTTGTTGCCTTTTCCAAAACCAAAACATACATTTCGTAAGCAAAACAGTTTTTCCAGACTCTACCTGCCCCCACCGTAGAATGAATGGTACATCCCAGCCGCGGTGTCTCCTGGGAGATCTGCCGGCCCGACCCGTGCGAAGATCAGTTGTAGAACAGTCGGCGGCCGGACGTGCCACAGCACCACAACCACACACATGTACAGCAACACCGCTTCACAACGGTCCGTGCACAACATGGAACTGGCCATGGCCGGACCACATCAATCTCGTAGCCACTCCATCGGTTGCGGCTCCCTTCGGCTGGTGATTTTTGAGATCGTGCAGTGGGTTACCCTGTTCATCCCGACTATCCTGACAGCGCACCAGCTTGTACAGAACCTCGGGACCAGGGAGGGAGTCCTCCCGAGCCTGGCTGGCGCGCAAGTCGGCACCTTCTGGTGGATTTTCGGCTGCGCGTCCATCGGAGTTTCGCTTTTCGTGTACTTCCCGACAAAATACATGGTGCACAGGAGACTGGACCCCAGGAAACAGGCGTGGTAAGGGTTTAAATTTGTTGTTTATAGCCTCGAAACTTGCTCAAACAGACATCGTAGCAGATTATGTTAGCCTGGAAACTACTCTATCATGGTGTACAGGAGACTGACCCCAGTAAACAGGCGTGGTAAGGGTTTAAAATTTGTGGTTTTCTAGCCTCGAACGAACAGACATCACAGTAGATTATCATTATGTTAGCTAGGAAACTACCCTATCATGGTGTAGTGGAGACTGACCCCCGAAAACAGTCGTGGTAAGGGTTTAAAATAAGAATTTGTTGTTTGTTAGCCTCGAACGAACAGACATCACAGCAGTTTAATCTTGAAATTATGATAATGTTAGCCTATAAACAACCCTATCGTGGTGTACAGGAGACTGACCCCAGAAAACAGTACAGTTTGTTGTTTGTTAGTCTCGAACAGACATCGTACTGGTTCGGATAAGTGTTAGCCTCGTAGCCACCCCATCGGGTGCTCCCCGGTATTTCATCGGGGCTGGGAGCGCCGCCCGCCCGCCCAGGTGTTAGCGCGCTCCGGGGAATTTTTACGGCGTTTGGTTTCAATTTCTTAGCCCCGACAATAATCAGAAGTGCTGAATGGAAAGATTGCAGTATTACAAGCTGTCAGAAAAAAGGCAGGACTGGTGCTGGTAAACACCCTTATAGTTATACCGGTCAGTGGTGTTGGTTGTTCTTGTTGGTAAAATCATTCAAATGAGACAAATTGGGTGCATAATTTGCTAACAGTGTTAGTTAGCTAATCAAGACTCAGCAAAGCTCTTGCAGAGAGTTTGCCTGTTGTTTATTTGTCCAGGTAAGAGTTGTGTTGTCCCTGTTCTCACACAAATTTATGGACTTGCAGGGAAAGCCACATGTATATTTATGTTGGCCCGGTATTCCGCCTTGCCGCTAACCTCTGGGTCCATATGGCCACTTTCCCGTTTAAGTGTTGCCCCGGTTCAAATGGTGAAAGTTACGACATATCCGAAATGGTAGCGTTTCCACACCACATATGTAAGGATGACATTCCGTTGTCGTGTAACTTGTGTGACATACAGCTGTGTAACTGTAATGTAATTCATCTGAAGTTTGTGGTCTTCTTAGCTGTTCGAAAATCATGAATTCCTCTGAAAACTGTCCGCAAAGCTAGTTTTTCTGTCGAACGGAACCGAATGTCAGACGTGCTAGAAAGAACAAAAACTACAGAAACGCGCTGAAAATAAACTTTTTTCTATCGTAGCGGAGCAAAATCTGAATGGTAGCTAACCCAGGCTATAATTTGCTGGACTAGACAACTTAAAACCCGGCCCCAATACTAGTTTTTCTGTCGAAGTGTAAAACGTACTAGAAAGAGAACAAAAACTACAGAAACGTGCTGAACTAGAAAACATAATTTAAAATTCCAGTTGTAATAATCTCGGACCGTTGGACTCCTGTAGCGAAGTGTCAGCTACACAAAACCAAACGTGACCCTGTAGATCTGTCTTCTGATAAATCACTACCTGCAGACGGAAAACACGCAGTCGGCAATTTTCGGCAAATTACAGGCCGACTAATGCTAGGTTTGACCAGGGCTGGCTTCCTTTCAAGGATGTTACCACTCTACCAGAACATAGTAATTTACTGCTAGTCTCCATAGCATGCCAAAAACTGGGGGTTTTGGGGATCTTCATGGTCTTTGGGAGATTTTATGTGCTATTTTCTGTTTGCATATAGACAACATAGCCGGCCTGGTTGAATTACCCCCGTTTTTAATTTAAAGAACTGGGCTAATCAGAAAACAGCCGAAGACCACCAAACCCCCAGTTCTATAAGCCTGCTACGGAGGCTAATCAGAAAACGGCCGAAGACCACCAAACCCCCAGTTCTATAAGCCTGCTACGGAGGCTAATCAGAAAACAGCCGAAGACCACCAATTTCAGACCCCCATTTCTATAAGCCTGCTACAGAGGCTACGGGGGCTAGGTTTGACACATGTTTGTGACACACGTTTTATTCTCGTTTTGACGTGGATAAATTACGAGGGAGGTCTGTGCTTTAACGCATGGCTGACGACCGGCATGACCCCGAATTTTTTGCCTGCCTGTCACAAGTGGCGACTTTATAGTCTCCACCAGACTTCGTTTGCAGGCTGTATAAAGAGGGTCTGCATGGGGGGGTCCTGGCAACGGTTAACGGAAAATTCAGCAGGGCCGATAACGCTTAACGGTAAATTCAGGAGGGTCGGCAACGCTTAACGGTAAATTGACAGGTTTTTTTGTCGAGCTGCACTGGATTTAGTATCTTGCTTTGTGAGAAAGGTGATCACTGACAAAATTACGTAAACCTTACATGTAATGAAGCATGCATTTAAGGTATGTGTTCCCTGTGTTTCCCACCTGCCCTGGTCCCCGAGTGCGTCCACAAATAAAGGTGAGTCCGAGTCGACGTCGGCCAGCTTGCATGTTTTCAGTTTAGGATTTTGAGAGGGCGCTCGTAATCTAGGGGGTCCGGGGGGATGCTCCCCCGGGCAATTTAGGATTTTTAAGCCTTCAAAAACGCAATTTACCGCATTTTGAGAGGCAAATCATGGTGTTGAGAGTGTTTGTCGGTCCTTCTGATGTTTACATGTTTTTACTCAAGATTTTGTTAATTTGCCTGTCAAGGTTAACGCTGATGGATTCGTTAAAAAATTCTGTAACTCTCCGCAAACTTCCGGAAATTGACGGGAAAGCTGGTTCTGGCTCGGAGCCGAAGGGACCGAGCGCAGAAGCGCGAGTCGAGCGCCAAAGGCGCGAGCAATGTAGGGGGGTCCGGGGGCATTCTCCCCCGGGAAATTTTGTATTTTTAAACCTTCAATGACACATTTTCCTGCACTTTGAAAGGCAAAATTAGGCGTAACGAAGAATTATTCATTAACGCTTAACGCTGAATTTAGGATGACAAATAACGTTTTACGTTGAATTAAAAGGACCAATAACGCTTCACGAAGAATATACCGATAACGCTTAACGTTGAATTAGAGCAGGCCGGCAACGATTAACGGTGAATTAAAATAGCCCATAACGGTTAACGAAAAAGGGCATGCAGACCCTCTATAAATCGTAGAAATCGGCCCAAAAAGAGCGAGACAAGGTAGCGGGCCATTGACGGCCATCGACGATGAAAAAAATTCTTGCAGGCCAATTTGATCGTCAATGGCCGGCTACCTTCTCTCGCCAATTAATACCTGTTTAGGCCGTTTTCTACGATTTATCCAGGTAAAAAAAGTCTGTAGCAGTCCTGCCACATGTTGGAAGGACCGACAAGTGGTGGGAAAACTGTTCTCTGTTGGAGAGTTACTCCAAATACGGGGCAGTGCCAGACTGGGCGGCGGCATGGTGCGTTCTGTAAGGACGTAATTTGTCAAATCACAAATGTGATCTCATGGAGGGTAAAGTAGTGTATGTAGTAGCCTCTATCAGACCCTCTTATAAGGTGTAAGGTGTTGTAGATACATGTAATGGACTGTCACTTCCACACACACACAAAAAAAAAGAATTATAGGCTAGGGGAGTGAGTCCAAGTGTAACAAATTACAATAATCTAATTCTTCTGTACGGGCAAATGAAAACATAGTGGCAAAAAATCACAGTATTTTAATTTTTTTCGGGCATTGCGGAGCGAAAATCCGGATGGTGTCCAGGCTAATAGACAGCGAAGACACGCTGTTACGTAGTGTATCTTCTGTACGCAAACTTGTTGTACAACTTGTTTTGTGCGGCTTGTACAAAGACAGAAAAGAAGTTATTGTGTTGTTGATTGAGTAGTGAGATACAAGCATCAAAAAGGTCTGCCGGTGTATTCAGCTGTTCTGTGTGATTTACCGTACTGAATATGCATAACAAACTCCGAGTTAGACTTTATTTTTGGGTACAGGACGGGGGAAAGTTTGTTTGCCTTTCCTAAATTTCTTTTTGGGTGTGTCAAACAAAAGTCGCTTTTGTTTATGAAAAGTAAGGTGGAGATTGGCCAAGTCTTGCAAGTGGGGAGAATAATTTAACAGTCACTAGATTAGTTGACAAACTTACAACTTTCGTTCAATTTGTACGTTCTTCTTGTAACCAAGACAGTCCGGTGGATACAAGGCAACCTTTAGTTTTGGAGACAAAATTAACCTTCCTGAAGTTGAAGTGAGTAATCTATTTTGACAGTCCTGTCGAGTGAGAAGTGACCCCTCCCGACCCCTCGCCTTGAAATATTCCCGTCCTTCGCCGCCATGGAATTTGTTTTGATACAAACAACAATGTAACAGTATGTTTCTAGCTTCCTTTCCTCTGCTAATCTCCAACTAGACAGATCTTTTGGTGGCAAATTGTGCAGACAGTCACCAATATATTACCACCCGTACTTGAAATCGAAAAATAGATACCTTTACAAGAAGTAAGCCCTGTAAAAACATAACCGTATGAAGACGCATAAAAATATGCCGAAGCCTAAACCTGTGCTTGAAGAGTACTGCATAACAGATTACAAGGTGACTAGGATTTTTTGTGGCTCTTTTTTCTTGATTGTAAGTCATGATGTAAGCTTTTTCTACCTCCATGATTTGACAACAACAACAACTACACAGGTTTGAAGCCAAATAAACTCGAACCCATATATTTTATAGAACAGCGGTGGGTACATTCGACACGGGCGAGTGTTTGGCGGCTCGGTGCTAACGATTTAAACGGCCCGCTGTGAATAACCGGATAATCCCGATAACTCATTAACGTGCTAATAAAGAACCCGTATAACACATGTATAATCCTGGCAGTTCCCAGGCCCGGCCCATAGCGTAATCTCACAACAGATGGTCAGTCCCAGTCCGGGATCGTGAGTTTTTCTCACGGTCTTTCGGAAAGTCTAGTTGAATGTATTAACCTCTACCAGGCTTCGGGAAGGGAAAGATGGTAAAAATTGGCCGAATAGACAGATACAAAGTAATATAACGGATGCGGGAGCGGCAAACTGTTTTCTCTTATAGCGCGAACCACACACACCACAATTTCACCTGCCCCTCCCAGAAGCCTGGTAGAAGCTAGAAAAATGTACTAGTATATCAGAAGTAAAAGGTGGTAGATAAAAAGAAGAATGAACAAAGAAAAAAAAAACACGATACGATTTTCTTTTGCCGAAAATTTTTCGTGAAAAAAAGATACAGTTACAAGAGAGAAATGTCGATAAAACGTCCCAAAATACGTCAAAAATATACCGAAACCCAAGGCTCTGCTTGGAGAGAAATCATTACTACTAATACAGGCCGTCAGGGATCCATGACATCTTTATTTAATACCATCTCCTCAGCACAGATCGGCGGTTTCCTTCGGCGATAAGATCGGGAGAAGTGTTTCCAATCAAACCGATCCGGCACTGATCTGATATGCTAACCACGGATCAGTGATGATAGCGCGTCTTTGTGAACCCATGTGGTGTTGGGGTAGCCTCTACCAGGCTTCGGGAGGCGGCTGGAAAGAGTAGTCTACTGGGAGAGACCATTCTGCCGCACCCCCGGCATGTTATCTTTCTATTTGGCCGATTTCTATTCTTTCCAGGCGCCTCCCGAAGCCTGGTAGAGGCTAGAGCTGATATGCAAACCACGGATCAGTGGTGATAGCGCGTTTTTGTGAACACATGTGGTGCCGGGGTGTAACAAGCCCCAGATGTATTCAACTCCAAGAAGATGTAGGGTCGTATTCTTTGAGTTTGAGTAGACTAGTTCAGCCCGATGAGTTAATATTTGAAGCTCCTTGATCAGCCAAACAATTCAACAAATCTTTGCGTTTAACAAAACATGTTGGTCAAAAGTTACACAAAATCTTATATGATCTGGCTTCTTAAATTCTACGTGAATTATAATATCACGCATAATAAATGCAAGATAGTTTGGTTGCCATATACATGTACTTAAGTATTCCCTGACTACCAAGCTCATAAGTCAAGTAAGTCAAGTACCAAGCTCGAAAGAAAACGGAAAGATTCTCTGACATCCCAACATCTGCTTGGAGATCGCATGCACACGCGTGGCTCGTTACCGAAGCCATATGTGCCGACGTCTGGCTTCCTTCGCGTGTAGGTGCGATCTCTGCAACAGTTTCTCACGGGTGTAAAAAATCATGACTACGAAAGAAAACGTAAGGATTCATCTCAACATCTGCTTGGAGATCGCATGCACACGCTATACGTGTTACCGAAGCCCGCCTGGCTCCCTTCGCGTTTAGGTGCGATCTCGGCAACAGTTTCTCACGGGTGTAAAATCATGACATTTTTCCAGCCATTGTATTCATCTCAACATCTGCTTGGAGATCGCATGCACACGCTACACGTGTTACCGAAGCCCGCCTGGCTCCCTTCGCGTTTAGGTGCGATCTCTGCAACAGTTTCTCACGGGTGTAAAATCATGACATTTTTCCAGCCATTCTATTCATCTCAACATCTGCTTGGAGATCGCATGTACACGCTATACGTGTTACCGAAGCCCGTCTGGCTTCCTTCGCGTGTAGCTGCGATCTCTGGAATACTTTCTCACGGGTGTAAAGCGGGGTTAAGGTCGGTCTCTGCGCCCTTCGCGAATCTCAGTTTCCCCAAAACTAAAGCATCCTGACTTCTGGCCTTATAACTCCCGTTATCTCATTACAACTAACGCGATTCGAATGTACCGCCGTACAAACAATCTGCTAGTTATTTGCGGGACGTCTGGGCCGATTTATGGCGGGAAAAAATGGGGAGAAAGTCGCCCCGAAAACTCAGGTTATTTTTCATCGCCCGGAGCGGTGCTTAGGCCTAGGAAATACAATATTGTGTTTCCTGTTTCCCGACCGACCCTAGAAAAACCTGCCGTCCCTAGACTTTTTTTGGGGGTGGACCCCTGCCTAATCGACCTTTTTAAGCTCCATGATCTGACACCTGAGTGAGAAAACGTTCTATAATCGGTTTTACAACGTTGACATTGAAAATATATGTGTCCTCGTAGCCTCTACCAGGCTTGAGGAGGCGGCTGGAAAGAGTAGAAATCGGCCAAAATAGAGAGATAAGCATGCCAAGGGAGTATGGCCGTTGAGAGAACAGTTCGCCGCCGAACTGTTCTCTCAACGGCCATACTCCCTTGGCATGCTTATCTCTCTATTTGGGCCAATTTCTACTCTTTCCAGCCGCCTCCTCAAGCCTGGTAGAGGCTAGTGTCCTCGCCTCATTCAAGTTTTAATCGTTAAAATCTTGTTGGATCACAAGTTGGATCACTAGTTGGATCACAAGTTGGATCACTAGTTGGATCACTAGTTGGATCACTAGTTGGATCACTAGTTGGATCACTAGTTGGATCACTAGAGATTGCCAAAGTTCAAAAAGAAGAAAAGGTAAAAAAAACAAAACCTAACCTACCGACCCTAAATTTTCAGAACTGAAACAAGAAACACAACATTCTTTCCTAGGCCTTATCAGGATTGAAGACAGATGGATTCCTGGTGTCTCCTCCAGACGTCTTACGTCTGTCTTGAGGTGGACCCAAGAAACTCAAACCAGGCAGATTGCGTTTCTCAAGAAATCTGTCTTCCTTGACCTTCACTCACCTCAAGGTCATTGCCTGACGTTTTAAGGTCACGACGCGAAACTATACCGTTGTTGTTAGTCTCGTTTTCCATCCAATTTCTGCCGCTTGGTTTTCAGCTGTTTTTAGTTATTTGTGTGACTAGACTTTTATGTGCAGTTTGTAATTACTTCAGAATACACAAGGACAATTGGTGAAAGGAATCATGATTGTTTCACTTCCAAGTAGCAATGGTTAAATCGTGTATTAAAAAAAAAACACGACAAAATTGCATTATACAATCCTCTCCACAGTTCCGACATGCACAAATCTAATATATTCCCCCACAACCTCTGCTTGGAGAGTAAGCTCGATCGTCTTCTCATTTTTCTCCAAAATGAATAATTTTCCCCCAATTGTGTTTTTTCACCCATCCTGAATCGCCAATCCCCGAGGACACACGGTTTGATAACTGCGGCCAGGTTACTGCCCAAACACGCGGGAAATTAATTATCGACCTGCAACATCTTATCCACAAACGGCGGGTTTTACATGGTGATGGAGGGGATTAACTTTTCAGGGTTCGGTTTCAGCTAGCCTCCAACAGGCGTTCCTAAGGGGGGGGGGGTTCTCTGTGTCCAACGAGAGTTTTGTTTAATCTCCAAGCAGATCCCTCTCGGTGGCAAAAAGACAGTATCAAATTAGCCAGGCAGTGTCAGATTTCCCCGTATTGTCTTGCAACTTTGCCTTGCGTATTTCATGCTCACAAGCAATATGGAAAACAATCAAACTGCAGCTTAAGTATTGTTTAGTATTTTCTGTAATGAATTTTTTGTTGTTGTGTGGCATCCTGGTATTTTCTTGCAACATTGCCTTGCGTTTTTTATGCCCATCTGCCATGAAAAACAATCAAGTATTATGTTTACCCATGGAGTTAAAAGACAAAGATTACCGGAGGAAAACATATTGTTTTTGCTCAGTTTCGTCTTCTTCTCCAAACGGTGACCTCTGACCTGCCCAATGACCTGGCCAATGACATAATGTTGCAATTTTAGATTAGGAGGGATTTAGACTCCTGTCGCCATATATGTGAATGTGCTTTGCTTTGAAAATGTTATTTTTCTAGTAGTTTATTATTTTCTATAACGACCTGTTCCTTGTCTCCCCCTGTAGGCGCCCCGCCGTGCTGCTGTATAACGTGTTCTGCGGAGGGCCGTGTTTCGCCTTCATTCTACTCGGCACTAAAGTGAGTCAAATTTAAATTATGTCTATTTGCAAGAATGATGTTACAGCTAGCCTCTACCAGGCTTCAGGAGGCGGCTGGAAAGAGTAGTCGGCCATCGACGATCATTGGCCGTCGATGGCCTGCTACCTTCTCTCGCCAATTAATTATACCCTTTAAAAGTTTTAGGCCGATTTCTACGATTTGTTCAACCTGCAAAAGAAGTCTGGTGGCAAGGAAGGTCAGCTCTTTCAGGGTTGCAAATCGGATGACAAACAGGCTGTAGGAATGTTACAGATCAATCTGGGAGCAGTTATCTGTCGTCAGGATTGCATTACGGGTATTTTGCGGGTCGTCAGGAAGCGTTTTTGGGTCGCGAGGAAGATCGGGAAGCATTCTGACCTGTTTCTCCAGCTGGGAACGATTGCACGCCTGGATAAAACAACTTAGCTACAACAACACACAACCTGGCCACAACTTAGCTACAACAACACACGACCTGGCCACAACTTTAGCTACAACAACACACAACCTGGCCTGGCTACACATCTAAATCTTCGGGCAGACGTAGAGGCAAAGAACTTAGCAACATCAACAAACAATCTAGCCTGGGTTCCAGGCATACAAACTCTGAGCAGATGTAGGATGGTCTTTTGAAGCTCCTTGGGTGCAACAGCATGGACTACAAACTGACAATTTTGTTATTTTCTCTGGAACTTAAAGTCGAAAGATTTTGGGCCTCTTTTTCTACTTAGAAAGTTTGAAACCCTCTAGCCATCCTGGTTCGCCCTTTGGTTACTTGATTTCACCCGAGACGGCGTCTTTAATATCTCAGCGATAGTGCCTTTAAACGCCCCCATTGATTTCTTTCTTTAAGTTTCTGTAGCAGCGTCTTTGATGGTGTAAAATGAAGTCTGGACTGAATCTCGCCAGCCGCGCGGGAACAATCCCGTCAGCTGACAGGGACAAATAATCTCCAAGCAGATCTTTTGGTGGGGGTAAGACAGTCTCACGTTGGCCTACTGCTGGGTTCTCCGTCGATTGTCAGGATACGAGCCTATTATATCAAGAACCGTGCCTATCACTAGTTCTCTGCCTGAATGGGTTAGGATCAGGCACGGTTCTGGATAGTCTCTATTATATCCAGAACCGTGCCTATCTAGTTCTATGCCTGAATGGGTTAGGATCAGGCACAGTTCTGGATAGTCTCGGCATATCCAGGAACGTAGATTTGCCCCAGGTACAGTTCTGGATACGCGTGAACTATCCAGAACCGTGCCTGAGCATGGTTCTGAAAAAGGACCTGTCAAGAATATTGCTGTCAGAAAATCGTTACGATCTTCCACCCTACATCTGCTTAGAGATTGGCCCATTCCATTTTAAAACAGAGGGGTGGCGGAGATTATTTTACTGCCATATGGAGAATTTTGCGTGGGAAACGCGACAGATGCTCACTTCTGCTTCTCCCATGTACCGTGGGAACCGAACAGACTTTGTTTGCCATTTACATCTGCAGGACGGGACGGTTATAAAATTATAATTACAATCAGGGTTTATTGGCTGCGTATTGCCTTTGAATCGAATGATTTTCTCGGTTTGTTGGCATTCTATTGTCCGAGGCTGAAGTGATTTAATACAATCAATGTGCTTTTTTTATAACATCCTTGATACAATCATGTAAAGGCCCTCTAGTATTATCTCCAAGCAGATCCTTTGTTGGGTCCAATACATTCAAATTTGCAAGACACTTTAGACAGTATCAAAATGTGAAGACAATGTCAATGTCAGCCACCAAAAACAATAGGATACCATTACAAAAATCAAAGCCCGACATCTTGGCGGTACACTAGTGCATTGACAACTTACAGCGGGCTCACTTTCCTGGCTAATTATTTCCCGTTTTACTTTTTTAGCCGATTTCCCTGGAAGACCTTGCTATCCCAAAGTTTCGGATGGCGTATTGCATACGGCCTGGCCAATTTGTAGTATGTATTATTGCAGCCACCAAAAGGTCTTTTTGGAGATTATAGCCAAGAACAGTTATTAGCTAAACCTCCAGCAGGCCTCAATAATCACCTCCACTTCATCTGAATGTGCTCCAAAGCACGGTTTGGTGGCGAAACTAATCCAGTTCGACAAAGGCAATATCTTCGTTCTTTAGCAAAGAATTGCAGCCATAGAACACAAGAAAGCTGCCTATTCCTTTTTGCCAAGCAATAGTCCCCATTCCGCCCCAAACAAAACCCCCTCCCGCCCATGTCTTCCTTCTTTCAGCAAGGGATTGAAGTTATTGTACTCAAGATTTCTAATACAGAACCGAAGCCTCCACCAGCCCTTTCTATGGGAATACGGATCGTAGAATTTGGCAAAAAGCGGAGTAAAATTGGCCTGGCGAGTCGCTCCGCGGAAGGTTGTTTCTTTCTATTCGAAAGAAAGCTGCCTATTCATTTTTCCAAGCAATAGTCCCCACTCCAAATAAAGACACGGTTTAATGGCAAAACTACTAGTAATTCACGTCAACAAAGGCAATATCTTCGTTCTTTTACTAAGTTTTGGGAAAGGATTGTAGCCATAGAACACAAGAAAGCTGCCTTTTTCCAAGGACTACCAAACAAAGCCTCTCCCGCCCCTGTCTGGCAAACTTCGGCAGCTGGCAGGCCTTTGTGCGACCCCCTCCGACCTCTCCCCGCTCTTGTGCTGGTAATAATATCGCCACACCGACAATTGAAAGCTCCCGTTGTTCCGACAGGGTTTCCCTTTGTCATGCGATTCGTCGTTTTGCAAACTGAATGGAGGCATGCCAGAACGGGGATACAATATTCTGGTACTAAAGTAGCCTCTACCAGGCTTCGGGAGGCGGCTGGAAAGGGTAGAAATTGTCCAAAATAGAGATAACTTGCCGCTAGAAAGCAAATGTCCTCTAGCAGACCAACTCCCATGGCTTGTTATCTCTCTATTTGACCAATTTCTACTCTTTCTAGCCGCCTCCCGAAGCCTGGTAGAGGCTAGACACAATAGGAAATCGAGTCGATTTTTTTCCATAATTGCAATCACCCAATAGGGAATATGTTGTGCATTCTTGCCCGTTGCCTTGGCAACGTTGTCTAAACAAACGATCAGTGTTGGTTTGTTTACGAAAAGGGGGCGCAAATATGGGTGAAGAACGAAACAGTTGTCCTCTGTTTGCTTTTGCGAGACAGTCCGTAGTTGAGAAGTCGGGATCGTCTGTTGTTTGGGGGTTCTTTTGTTCAGATTTCTGTGACCCGAACAGTCAACTGTGTCAGCGTGTTAGCCTCTACCAGGCTTCGGGAGGCGGCTGGAAAGACTAGAAATCGGCCAAAGGGAGAGGGAGTTGGCCTCCTCTGGACTGAAGCAGGCTTATAGAACTGGAGGTTTGGTGGTCTTCAGCTGTTTTCTGATTAGCCCAGTTCTAAAAACGGGGGTAATTCAACCAGGCCGGCTATGTTGTCTATATGCATTCAGAAAATAGCACATAAAAGATCCCAAAGACCCTGAAGATCCCCAAACCCCAGTTTTTGGCGTGCTATATGGAGGCTAGCCCGCTAAAGAGTACATTTCGGGTGCGGCAAGCTGTACTCTCTAGCGGACCAACTCCCCCGACATGTTACCTCAAAATTTGGGCAATTTCTACTCTTTCCAGTCGCTTCCCGAAGAGGCTACAAATTTATTTGACCTGAACAGTGAACTGTGTGTCAGCGTGTAGTCTCCAAGCAGATGAAGAGTGGGGTTTATTTTGTCTACACAACACGTGTTTTCGTGGCTTTGGTTTGGTTTCAACCAACTGTTGATTAGGCCTCATTGGTTCGAGTCATCGTATAATGTCGGGTGTACCCAAAAGAACTCTTTCGTATAGTCGCTTGTATTTCTGTAGATATTAGCAACATTTGCTGAAATATCGACATGAATACGATGTTTATGCGTGCCTAGTTATGTGGTGGGTTCTCTTTTTTATGTAGATATCCTCAAACAAATGACCGACTACAATTTATTTTTTGTCCTGTCCACACTACATTGTATTACAAGTGGATTTTCCTGGTGTTGTCGTTCCTTTTCTTGCTCCATTGTCACGCTAAAATCTAGATCCTCCTCGGAAATGTAAATTGTCGCAAGAGAAAAAAGGGAAGAGGTGAAAATGAGCCACTAAAGCGATAATTAGCCGAAGGCGTTGTTTTGACAGCGAAAGAAAACAAACAGTAACAAGTTCCCGCTAATTTACAAGATAAGAGTGGAAGTATTGGTGATGAGGGTTATTAGAGCAGAGTGTGAAACTCTGACGAGAGGCTTTGTTCAAAATGACCCTAATGATCCGAGGAGGTTTGATAGTATTAATAGTATTTAACCCGCTTGAATGGGCCAAATAAACATGGTTTATGGGCGGTAAGGACTGTAGAACTCACATCTGCTACTCTCCGAGAATGTTACACGTTTTATAGCCTGTAGATATTATGTTTTCCTCTTTTCCCTCATTCCCATATTGTCATGTTCTTTTGTTTTAAAATTTGTTTTAAAAATTCTAACGATTTTTTTTTCTCTCTTTTTCCTCAGATTTTCCGTGAGGCCCGTCTGCAGGAGGATGTGAGGTCCCGGATGTATGACGAGGCCGTGTATTTCGCGGCTCCTGTTATCGTGTTCGGCCTAATACTGACGGAGTGGTTCTGCAAAGGTACGTATCTGGTTCCGTACCTGTACCTGTATCTGTTATTCTGTACCTGTATATAGCCTCCGTAGCAGGCAATCAGAAAATAGCAAATAAAAGCTCCCAAAGACCATGAAGACCCTCAGTTTTTGGCATGCTATGGAGGCTAACCTGTATATATATAAAGCGGTATAAGTGTTAGGTGCAACAAGTCGTTCGGTGTAATATACTAGTAGCTAGCTAGCGCTAACTCTTGAACATCTAACTCTAAACATTGTCTAGTGATATATTTCCGCAAGAAAGCATACAATAGATCAGCTTTGGTAAAATTGTAATTTGATATAGCTAGTCTCAGTATGTATTAACTCTGTTAGAATGGTATTCTACTGGTTTGGTTCATGTACATGTATCTACCCTTGCTTTACATTGTACCAGTTTCAGTTGTTGAGCATTAAATTAAAGTTGACTTGATTCGTCTTCCAGGTCGGGAGGACCTCGCGTCCAACGTACGAGCGGAGGCGATGATCCACGACTTCCTGACGGTTTACGACATGCTGGAACTGTTGGCCGCCGGTCGGGACTCGGTCGTGTACGAGTCGTACTGGATCTACGCTGTGTACGGCGTCGCGTTCGTCTCCATGTTCAAGTTCGTGCTGAGAGCGCCTTCCTGTGATTACACCCACCTCGCTAAACCCTACTTGTTAGCGAACTTGGGTTTACACGAAGTGCCGTACTGTGTACTGAGGATAGCACTTATCGCGCTGTTTGGACTCAAGCAGGGGAAACTTATTTATCCTCTGAAGAACTTCTTAGCGATTGTGTTCCGCATGTACCAGCTACACGACCCTACGGACTTCTGAAAGGGAGAGTGATGTGTGAAAGTGAGAGTGGACTCCTCTGAAGACGCACCAAGGAGGGAGGGGTGAAAGTGGAACAAAAATGTGGAAACTTTCAGTGAAGCGATCGGACTGACTTCTTTTACTAATAAACAAAGAGGAGACGAGTTTATTTTTATAGAAGCAGCAGAGACGTCGCCCCGACATGACTAAAGAACAGACTTGATGGGCTGTTCCAAGACCGACCTTGGATGTGAAAGAACTTAGTAGTACATGTACAATGTATTATCAATTAGCCAATAGCCTGGGTGCCAGACTGTTGCCAGGGTCAACATGTCCCAAAGGAAATTTACCAATGACAAACCCCATGGTCTATTACTAGTAACAGGGGCATCCAGGCTAGCTTTCATCCCTTGAAATGGCTTCCAAACTTCCAAACTCTTCCGTTGACAGACACAACCAGGGGGGCCTCCAAGGGGGGGTACCGACAACGCCCTACGCTAAATTTTGAGAGCCGGCTACGTATTACGCTGAATTCCGGACGCCTCTCTACGCTCTACGCTAAATTTGAAAGATTCCGAACGCACTATGCAGAACTCAATCACCTAGCAACTGCATGTTTGCGTGAAAACCTTTTGATTTATCACATGTAGAGGTGACATAACTTGAATTAAAAGTAGTAACCGGCGGTCACTTCCTTATATATTGAAAGTATAGAATACAAAACGGGGTATTCAGTATTACCGCAGGTACCAACTTGACCGCGAGTCGATCGCCCGAAGATCGGAGGGCGATTCGTCAATGGAGGTAACATGGCTGTAGCCAGGATTTTGAAGGGGGGGACCAACGAGCGCCGTAGGCGCGAGGTTCCTAGGGGGGTCCGGGGGCATGCTCCCCGGGAAATTTTGAAAAATGAACCTTCTGAAATGGCATTTCCTGCGTTTGTAGAGGGTTTCAAAGAAAAAATCAGAGATAACTTTTTCAATGACAAAGTGAGCCGTTTTCCTACGGCAGATTCCAGCCTTGCTGGTGACACAAATCAGTCCGTCTTTTAAAGAAAAGTCTTGGACCTTTAGATAAAAAGTGCACCAAAAAGTGGACATTTGAGCCTTGTGGGATTGTCGTCCGAAGGTAGAAAAGGCCGCAAACAATACAGCGTAATTTGTCAAAACGTCTCAGCTGCCGATTGCTGACGGTCCCGCGTTACCCATCACCCGCACAATGACGGGGATGACATTGCTCTTTTCGGGAGTGTCCTCCATTACCCTGGCCATTGATCAGCAATGATGTTCCCGCTAAGAAACATCTTGAGGGCCCCTATTGGGCCTTAAAAGTCATGTGGTTCTAAGGCCTTCTACCCTCTTCCATCTGTGGCGTTTGGCCAATGGTCCTTCTGTATGTCACCGATGGTAAGGTCAATCTCGTACCCAGCGCACTGTGGGATCATTCCCATATGTTGCCTTGTTCTTGTGTATGGCTCTGGGAACAAGTCTAGTGGATTGTTCGATTGTATAGAAGGGGGTAGAGCAAGAAAGACCTCGAGCGCCGGCACTTGCGAGGCATCGAGTTCCCGTTTGCGGCTTGGATTACGCTCTACGCACAATTAATCGATTACGCTTTACGGTTAATTCCCGATAGCTACAACGCATAACGTAGAATTAAAACGGCGAATTACGCTCTACGCCAAATGCGCCAATTACGCTCTACGTTGAATTAGAGGGTCCGTCTACGCTCTACGTAGAATTAAAACGGCCGATTACGCTCTACGGAAAAGGGCTTGGGGGCCCCCAACCAGGTCATAGCCTCCGTAGCAGGCTTATAGAACTGGGGGTTTGGTGGTCTTCGGCTGTTTTCTGATTAGCCCAACGGGGGTAATTCAACCAGGCCGGCTATGTTGTCTATATGCAATCAGAAAATAGCACATAAAAACTCCCAAAGACCCCGAAAATCCCCAGTTTTTGGTATGCTATGGAGGCTTAACCCGGAGCCTGGTAGAGGCTATAGTAACCCCAGTGTTTGGCCTGGAAACGTGCGCGGCATATTTCCACACTCCCGGGAAGTATTCTGTGTCTCCCAGGTCAGGAGATCCACACAAAAAGCCAGGCCCGGTACGTGCCGACTGTCTCCTCAGAGCGCCCGGGTACACCACTGCTGCCGGGTTCGGCATGCCTCCACATTCCCGCTTATTGAATCCAGACCTTCCCGCGGCCAGGGTTCAGCGACCTGCGCCATATATTACTTTAACCTCGGCTAATTATATCGTAAACACGCCGTAAAGTTAGCACGGGATTTGTACGGGCAGAAATCAATTTGGGCTGGCTCGAGTTGGCGAGGGTCCCGTAGGGGGGTCCGGTTACAGGGAGCGTGGGAAAAGGCTGGGAAAGGGGGTTAGCGGAAGCACGTTTCTCGTCAAAGTTGAAGAGTTGTAGATAAGAGTGAATTTCCCCAGGTGATTCTGCTGGATTCGGTTCGGTCGTTTGACAACAATTAAAGTTGACTGAAGCAAGGTTCGCCTGTAGGGACGGTTCAGACATGTCAGAAGTTATGTCGGGGGATTTACGCAGGGTTCATCTGTAGGGACGGTTCACAAGTTATGTCGGGAGGGGCAAGGTTCACCTTTCGGGACAGTCCACGAGCAATGGTAGGGAGGGTCTGAAATTCCTTGGACACAAAATGAACACCCACAATCATTGAGTCTCTGTAAAAAAAAGGTATATGTTCGGGAACTTTACTCTTAAAACTATTTTTTCTAAATTCCACCAAAAGAAAAAGGAATTCTTTTTGACAGGCAAACCAAGTAGAAATGTATTCATTCACTTTTTAAAAATTCTATTCAAGATGAACTCACTTTAAACTTTAGAGAGAAGAATTAGGGTTAAACTTTAGAGAGAAGAATTAGGGAAACCTAGAGAAAATGAATGAATGAATAAAATATTCTATGTAAATCTGAGGGGAGAACGCCTGGCTAATGTCTCAACCCCGAATGTCACTTTCTATGACGTCATGAAATATGAAAATCACCATGGCAACCTGGCCATTTCTAAAAGTTACGATTTTTATTAATTTCTGTAATTGATTTATTGTCATTTCTTGTGTCCTTGAAATAATTTTTTCTCGAATTATTTGTTCTATGGTACTAAATTGTCGAAAGAAATTCTATAATATGGCCTCTTCACATATGCCAATATGTTCATAACACAAAATGTATCCATGTTGAAACCAGATAACTTTTTAAATAAATTTAAAATCGTTACGATTCATGTAAAAAATTGTTTATATGTATACACTTGTAAATATTGTTGATATTATTATTATATATTATAACTAACAAGGCGATATTTTAATACAAGGTACAACACATGGTTGTGCGAGACTTGTACATATTTCATTTTGAGAATTAGAAGACATTAACTACCTCCATGTAATATAACGTTAACATCATTCATAGGCGCTTTGAATTGTACATTTGTGTCAATGTATATCTGGAATATACTTTTTCAAAACGTGTACACTTGTTGTTTTGTCGTTCATTTATTTGTGTGATCATGTTATCTGTCTATTTGGCCAATTTCTATTCTTTGCAGCCACCTCAAGAAGCAAGGTTGAGGCCATTTTTTCCACTGCCTCTGACGCCTTTTAGCGGATAGTACACGCACGCCTCCTGTTAACAGATTAGTGTACTGCATGAACTTAATAACGTATATCAATAAAGTTCTCTTCATGAAATACAAGGGGTCATTGATTACACAAGCCAACGGTATTGAATATTCTATTAATTAAAAAAAACTAAAGTAAATAAGACTACATGGTAAATAAACTACATGGTGACAAATCACGATTTCATGTGGGTCATCAGGCGCAAAGGTTAACCTGTGACCTTAAACGCTGTCACCTTTGACCTGCCATTTTTGTAAACAAGGCCGGCCATGGTGTTTCTGTGAGGAAAATCTTCACCCTAATCAGGTAAGAACGACAAGCATCTAGAGAGGTGTGTTTGGATATTGAGTGCAGGGCTATGGGATGCTTCTGTGATAAATGATCGACGTTTAGAATACAAGATGTAGGGCTTATTTTGTAGGCAAATGTACATGTTAGCGACATGGGGGAGGGGGGCGGGGCGAAACCAAAATACATGAGGCCTTTGCCTGCATGTATAGCAAGATTCAGGTATTCTGTATCTGTATAGCCGGTAACACACCAGCTTCTGTATCTGTATAGCCGGTATAGCTGCCCTTCGGCGTAACACACCAGCTTCTGTATCTGTATAGCCGGTATAGCTGCCCTTCGGCGTAACACACCAGCTTCTGTATCTGTATAGCCGGTATAGCTGCCATTCGGCGTAACACACCAGCTTCTGTATCTGTATAGCCGGTATAACTGCCCTTCGGCGTAACACACCAGCTTCTGTATCTGTATAGCCAGCAGTATAACTGCCTTTTAGTGTAACACACCAGCTTCTGTATCTGTATAGCCAGTATAACTGCCTTTTAGTATAACACAGTCCAAGCTTCTGTATCTTTATCTGTATTATAGTATAGGCAATACAACACACCAGCAAACATACAGTAGATACCCAGTAGTCTACCATCTATGTAGAATTTCAATAATTATTTTGTGTTTTTTTTCCTTGTTTTTCCCCAGAAAGGCAGACATGGAAGCAGAAGGTCCAGGATCTCCCACCGGAGTTTCTCAAAGCTGCCCTGCCTCAACTCAAAGTTGCAGCGACAGCAGCATGGGACATCCACCAATTCTTCCAAAACATGTTGATGAGAAACCCTACATGTGTGGGGAGTGTGGGTACTGCGCAGCTAAGAGGGCAGACTTGCACAAACATATGAGAAAGCACAGTGGAGAAAAGCCCTACAAGTGTGACCAGTGTGACTATTCTGCTGCACAGAAATCCACTTTGGACCAACATCTAACAAAACACACCGGTGAGAAACCCTACATGTGTGGGGAGTATGGGTATATGACTGCTAAAACGTCCCACCTTACCCAGCATATTAGAACCCATACAGGAGAAAAACCCTACAAGTGTGACCAGTGTGACTATTCTGCAGCACACAAGGCAACTTTAGACCGCCATCTCACAAAACACACCGGTGAGAAACCCTACATTTGTGGAAAATGTAGTTACAGAACAACTCAGATGTCTAATTTATCTAGACACATGAGAACACATACAGGAGAGAAACTATTCAAGTGTGACCAGTGTGACTATTCTGCTGCAAACAAATCCACTTTAGACCGCCATCTTGCCAAACACACGGGTGAGAAACCCTACATCTGCGGTAAGTGTGGGTACAGCACAACTCAGATGTATCATCTGTCCAGGCATCTAAAAACCCACACAGGAGACAAGCCCTACAAGTGTAACCAGTGTGACTTCTCGACGGCAAGATTTTCCAACCTGTCTCGGCATTTGGCAATGCATAAGATGGAGACAACGTCGCATATGTGACAAGTGCTGTGTACCACTTCACTGGACTGGTTCTGTACTTGTAAAATGTTTAGGTTTAAGTCCAAAAAACCTAAAAGGCAAGAACCATGCAGTTTTAGACTTAAAATACAAAAAATAATGTCACATACACCTTTTCGTTCTATTGCAAAATCTGTGCTGCAAAATCAAGAAAACATTACCATCGGGCATTGTCAAGGGTTGGCCTCCATGTTATGTGGCCACAGTTTTGCCAAGAAAACATTGCAAACATTGCAAGGTTGCCAACATATATTTACATGCTACCATATGATCTGCTTGGAGATTAAATATATCCTGTGTGTGGAGCGCCCTCTGCCAGAACATTCAGTAACTGCAGCACAGAAACACATGGGCTAGTCAAATAATACCGATTTCTGACTGTATAATGTAGGGTTTAGAATCACTTCCTTTAATTATACATTTTGTATTTAATGTGGTTAAGTATTTTTAAGTATTTTTAAATCTATCATTGTTGTGAAACACGTATTACTCTCAGCCTGTGGCTGCCATGTGTTTTTGACGAATAAACCTTTCATTCAGGCCCTAGGGGCAGTGGGTTGTTGGTTCTTGTAACTACTTATTCTACGAAGTAACTTTAAACTGTAATTTCCAGCACAACAACGAAATTGGACTCACCCAAATTTTACTACTTATTCTAGTCGTTTTCAATTTTCATGGCCGCCAAACATAACTGATATATCATTATTATTATTACGTACATATAACTTATTCAATTAATATGCTTTACCACAAACAAAACTGGCGCATATTGGTGAGTTTGTGCAGTAGGAATCAGTAATAATCATACTAAAGTGTTGGCAGAAATAAAATATATTATCTGGATAATCAGGGGGTGAAATTTACCTTTGACCCACATTGCATTCACCTCTGACCCAACGAGACGACAAAGCTGCTGCCCGAGTTCCGGTTTACGTGAAGAGAAAACCACCATAGGAAGCAGGTAAGGCTTAGCAACAGGCAGAAAAGTATTCTGGTGTTGAGATGAAGTGTTTGAGACCATTTCTGTGGAAGGAGCATCGTCCTAGGACGATAATTTGTAGACATTTTCGTTATGTGAATATCGTGGAATTTGGGGGAGGGGGGCGAAACCAAACATGCGTTCGACCCTCACCACATACAAGTATACGTCGTGCATCAGGCAAAGTGACTTTTTTAGAGGACGTAGACCTATATAAAAATGTTAATTGTATTGTAAAGAATTCTATAACGCTTTAATAACCAGTTTAGAAACGCGTAGAACTGATTTGTAAAAACAGTAATAATAGAGCAAACTTGTAACGTTACTGCCGAATCTCTTTCCAGCCTAGCGAATGGAGTCAGTTGTCCGCATTGTTTGTAGTCGTAGAAGTAATAAATACTATAGTGAACAGTTTTGAGTGAGCTCGGTGGTGTGAGTGAGTGATTGTAAGATCTCACAAATTATGATTTTGGAACATAGAAGCAAATTTATTCAAATGCCAGAAAGACAACACGTTAGAATTATGTTGGGTTACGTTGTTATATATTAGGTTGATGTTGTAGAGCTTGTTAAAGTTGGAACTCATTTTTTTTTCTAAAAACCAATTTTATTGTTGACAGCATTTAAAGCTTGATCTTTTCAATTCCATTTTTTCTGTTAGGCTGAACATGGCAGCGACTGGACATGGGTCTCCCACCGGAGTTGGTCAGAACTGCTGTGATGGGTCTCCCACCGGGGTTTCCCAGGTCAACTGTTACAGCAAAACAAGCAATGATGAAGACCAGGCAGCAGCACAAGTCAACTTGGATAACGCTGGTGACAAACCCTACATGTGTTGGGAGTGTGGATACAGGGCGGATTGCAAGTCTCACTTATCCCAACATATGCGAATCCATACAGGAGAAAAACCCTACAAGTGTGACCAGTGTGACTACTCTGCAGCAAAAAAATCCACTTTGGCCCAACATTTAGCAAAACACACTGGTGAAAAACCCTACATGTGTGGGGAGTGTGAATACAGGACAGCTCGAAAGTTTGACTTATCCAGACACATGAGAACCCATATAAAAGAAAAACCCTACAAGTGTGACCAGTGTGAATATTCTGCAGCCCAGAAATCTGATGTGGACAAACACCTGGCAAAACACTCGAAACCCTACATGTGTGGGGAGTGTGGGTACAGGACAGCTAAAAAGTGTGACTTATCCCGGCATATGAGAACCCATACAGGAGAAAAACCCTACAAGTGTGACCAGTGTGACTATTCTGCTGCACGGAAATCCACTTTGGACCAACATCTAATAAAACACACCGGTGAGAAACCCTACATGTGTGGGGAGTGTGGGTACAGGACAACTAGAAAGTCCCACTTATCCCGACATATGAGAACACATACAGGAGAAAAACCCTACAAATGTGACCAGTGTGACTATTCTGCAGCAGAGAAATCCACTTTGGACCAACATCTAATAAAACACATCGGTGAGAAACCCTACATGTGTGGGGAGTGTGGGTTCAGTACAGCTTACAAGGCTAACTTGTCCCAACATATGAGGACCCATACAGGGGAAAGACCCTACAAGTGTGACCAGTGTGACTATTCTGCAGCAGAGAAATCCAATTTGGACAGACATGTACTAAAACACACCGGTGAGAAACCCTACATGTGTGACCAGTGTGACTATTCTGCAGCTCAGAAATCTGATTTGGACAAACACCTGGCAAAACACTCGAAACCCTACATGTGTGGGGAGTGTGGGTACAGGACAGCTAAAAAGTGTGACTTATCCCGACATATGAGAACCCATACAGGAGAAAAACCCTACAAGTGTGACCAGTGTCCGTTTTCTACAGCACACAGAAAAAATTTGGTCAAACATGTTGCAAGATACGATGGTGAGAAACAACATAGGAAAATCAATAGAGGGGAACACCGTTATAACTGTCATCTCTGTAGCTACTCTGCTGCTACAAAATGCCATCTCTCATTTCACTTGAGAAGTCATGAGAAAGAAGTTGAATCTACAAGTGCGACAAATGTACAACTATTATATAACACTTTTGTCCTCTTGTAACGAGAAAGTCAAAATGAAAGAAGAACCTCTCCAGAAGTGTAAATCTGTACCTAAGGCCACACCAATTTAATTTCTTGGTTAACGGATTCGCCGCTTCATTTTTTTCTGATTTGCAAATAAAAATAAAAATCCAGAATCAACTGCAAAATGCTCATATTTTGCCCTGAACAGTTGAAAACAGACCTTTTCATCCTAGTTGTTACAGTTATTCCATCTTTCAACGCAATGGTATCATTAAAAGTTCAAAATTCATTGTTTAAATTTTGAACCAGCCTGGTGTGTTGACTTATTGGCTCCTATTGTACCATTTGGGGCCATAATAGGATGTCTAGGCCTGTTTTTATTTTTATTTTTTTTTCGCCCGCCCGCTCCATTATTTTTGTAGAAAAATCCGTTAACCAAGAAATTAAATTGGTGTGGCCTAAGCCTGATAATTTAGAACTAGAACTATCGCAGAGTGGAACTCACTGTCACCGGGGCATTGTCAATAGATAGCTTTAAACAATGTCTAGAGCTAGAAGTTCAAGGGTTAGGTGTAACAAGTCGATCGGTGTAATAGAGCCAGCTGCCGCTGCGCCGCGTGCCTGCGAAGCTGGTGTGTTACGCCAAAAGGCGGTTATACCGGCTATACAGATACAGATACAGAATTTCTCTGTAGTAAACAAATCTACACCAGAATTCAGAGGTGGACATATCCAGGCAGGCCGACAAAATTGTCATTTTTTATAAAACTTGTTCCAAGGAGAAACCTGCATAAAATTGCACCTAAGGCCACACCTAGTAAATTTTATGGATGACGTCCGTGCGCGCATTGATTTTGGCCTGTTCCTTGAATAAAAACCCAAGAAATTCCGCTTCCTGTAACTATGACCAAAGAGTCACGACAGTGCCGCAAATCACCAGATTGATGTGAAACCCGTAACACAAAGGAAGTGTCTATTGACAGGACCATCCTGTCAATAACAGAAAATTTTTCACTGTCCACTGTTCCACCTGATTTATTGCTGTTTTGATGATGAATAAAAGATTTCTTGCTTGTTACACTGTGTCACCTCATTCAATTTGTGTCCTAACATTTGTCGTCTCTTAGTATATTTCTAATCCAGGCATCTTGTTTTTTAGGGCCCTTCTTGTTTTTTTTCGCCCTCTCGCATTAGATTTAGGGTCTCCAAAGGACGTCATCCATAAAATTTACTTGGTGTGACCTAATACTGTCTAGATAGTTTTTGGACCAAATAGTTTCAGGGCCTAGGTATCAATATACTGTATGTTAAATTCTACCTTTTGTTTTGTTTGTTTTTCACTGTAGAAATGTTGGTGATCATAGGACTAGCAAAAAATTTATAGTTGTTTTATTCTGATTGTTTTCGTACAAATAACGTTTTTAAAAGTAACCATTTTGTGTAAAGTACATATATACATAACTTTACTCTCTGTTCATTTGTAGTCACTTGTATTGTGGTTTAGCTTAAAGCAAGAAACTAATATTAAAAAAAATGTATAATGAGAGTGAGTGTACATACTATAACTTGCCATACCCTGCCAAACATGACAACACTTTTGTTACATTGTTGCATTTTGTGCTGTATAATGTATCATTGTCATTTCTGTGAATTCCTTGAAAACATCCACTGTTTGTTTGAGTAACATTAATAAAACACAGAAATCAAGATTTGGACCAAACAGTTTGGCTTCATTCATTCCAAAAATATCTCTTTCATACTAGATCAGAAACAAGGGTCAGTAGTACGTTGTTAAGGTGGTCGGTTTGAAACGCAGAACGTTGACATAACGAGGAAAGTATAACGTGCCGACCGACGTCAAATGTACTACGTGGGTAATCAGGCAGACAATTTGACCTAAATTACCTTCACCTTTGACCTCACGAGACGACGGATGGACGCAAGGCTGCCGGAATAACGGTTTAAATTATTGAAGAGAAAAACCATCATAGGAAGCAGGTAAGGCTTAGAAACGGGCAGAAACGTATTCTGATAACGAGAGAAGTAGTTTGAGGTACTTTCTGTGGAAAAGGATCAGCGCAAGATTATAATTTTTACGATTTTTCTGGATATGAAAATGGTAGAAATGAAGGGGGAGGGGGGCGAAACCAAACATACGTGCAACCCCTGTAGGGCCCCTTAATCTGTTTTTGTCCCGTTTCAAACCGGAGTACCGTCTCTGATGTAGTGTTTTCTAATGATCACTCTCACACGAATGGACTTTTCACATGACTGTATTCTGTTCATATACAGTGACTGTAGGAGGGTAAGACATCTGTTCTCTATTACTAAGGTATGCGTGGGCGCGTTGGCAATCCTATTAAATACTCTCCAAGCAGAGGTTTGGGTTTTGGGGGTATTTTTAGCGTGTTTTTAGGCTTTTTTATCTGGGTTTCTCTTTTGCACTGAATTTTTAGTGGAAAAAAAATTCAGTGCAAAAGAGAAACCCCGATAAAAAAAGGCTAAAACACCCTAAAAATACCCCCCAAACCCAAACCTCTGCTTGGAGAGTACAATCCTAATACCTACTTTAGTTCTCATCACTACATCTGGGGCTACCATAATTTTATGTCAGGCTAGCTTACTGCTTTGGGGTGACGAGGAAAAGTTACATCAACGAGTTTTGCAAGTGTTTTACAAGTAAAGAAAATATGCTGTTCCAGGTTGTGGCGTCCCTCCCTCTCCCTGCACCCAGACAGAAGCTAGCGTATGATTCGACACCCTTGTCATACACAGGTTTGTACCTCTAGCATCCTGGTTTCCTAACAGTGTTTTAAGTGATAAGAATAACTGTATAATTTTGCTGTTTTTGTTAACGGGGGGGGGGGGGCGGGAGTGTGTGTGTGTGTGTGTGTGTGTGTGTGTTTTTCATTCCATATATGCATGCGACCAAACACATAAAAATCTAATGTAGTTAGATCACATTCTTGGAAATCATTTAACTCTGATTTATTCTGGATTCTTGTTTCTTTTTGCCCAAATATAGACTAGAGGCAAAATCCAAACCATAAACAGTCATATCAAGATACCACTGCACTACAATATTTTCTGGTGTGTGTTTTCATTTCATATATACATACGGCCAGACACATACAAATCTAATATAGCCACATTTTTATAAATCGTTCAGCCTCGATTCATTCTGGATTTTTGTTTCTTTAGGCCCAAACAGAGAAGAGAGATGGACGAAACTGGAGACAAACCCTCGGAGAGTGAGGAGAGCAGTTTTAGGACAACTCCCGAGTCTTGCTCTACTACGACCAGCCAAACAGGAGAAAAACTTGGGGAAAACACTTCATTTCACCATCTTGCTAAGAACACTGGTAAGAAACCCTACATGTGTGGGGAGTGTGAGTACAGGACAGCTGTAAGGTCCTGCTTATCCCAACATATGAGAACCCATACAGGAGAAAAGCCCTACAAGTGTGACCAGTGTGACTATTCTTCAGCATGGAAAAATAATTTAGACCGACATATAGAAAAGCACCATTGTGAGAAACCCAGCATTTGTTGGGAGGCTAGTGTGGATTCAGGACAGCTCACAAGTCTGACTCAGCCCAACAAACAGGAGAAAAACCCACCGGTTTAGATGATCATAAAGCAAAACACACTGCTAATGAAGTTCCGCGGAGCATTTATCGTCGATAAAGCGATAAAATTACGCGTTTAGTTTCGTAGCCCATATACTATATTGTAGTATCAATTATTTTGAACAAAAAAATGTATTTTAGCTACAATCTACAATTGTAGTATGAGAAAAGTAAACGTTATAGTATTGATTGGATAATATAAAATACATAATCAGTAATTAACATCGGTAAGTGATTGTACACAGTAGTTGAAGCTGAAAGGTAGACATTAGTGCTGTGTTTGTACACAGTAGTTGGAATGTAGACGTTAGTGTTGTGTGTGTACGAGCTTAGATTTCCTGTGTATCTACTAGTAGTTCCTGTCACGAAGTGTTTGCCTATATGTCCTACAAACACAATTATATCTTGTGACTATCAACTCTTTAAACTTTTAGGATTTGTTAGGATAAAACCCAAAAGCTGATAGTATTGATTTGTATCAGTGTAAAATCACTGATGTGCTTCAGTTTCTTTCTTCTTTCCTAACAGTAGGAAGTAATTTTACGCCAGTGAAAAGGTAGACAATAGGTTGCTTAAAAGGTAGGTAGGTAGGCTCCGAAAAACAACTACAAAACTGGAAATTTTACCTGAGATATATCTACAGTTATTTAAAAGAATTAAATCGTTTAAGCAAAATGTTTCCTTCTGTGTTGCCTTTTTCTTGAATGGAATATTGTCCGAGATGGTGAGTTGATCATAAAACACAGAAATCAAGATTCAGACCAAACAGTTTGGCTTGACATTCATTCCCTAAGAATCTCTCTTTCATATGATATCAGAAACAAAAGTCAGACGTCGTTGGGGGTGGTCAGTTTTAAACGCAGAACGCTGACATTATGAGGAAAGCTTAACGTTCAAACCGACGTCAAATGTACTACACGGGTAATCAGGCCTTCAATTTCACCTTTGACCCAAAGGCGTTCACCTCTGACCTCACGAGACGAAGGAACGACAAAGCTGTCCGACCGGTTTACGTGAAGAGAAAAATCGTCATAGGAAGCAGGTAGGGCTTAGAAACGAACAGAAAAGTATACTCATGTTGAGGGGAATAGTTTAAGACCATTTCTGTGGAAGAAGAACCGGAGTAGGATGATAATTTGTAGACATTTTCGGGATGTGAATATCGTGAAATTGAAGGGGGAGGGGGGCGAAATCAAACATACGTTCGACCCTCGCCACTTACTGTACGTCATGCTGCATCATTCATAGTGGCCTCACGTGGAATAATATGGAAGTAATCAAATGTTAACTGGATTGTAAAAAACGCAATGTGGGGTTTTGTACCGTATTTGAGGAACATTCGGCTCAGAACCTAGAGGTTTCGAGTTCGAATCCTGCCAAGCACTAGTCACCAACCTTGTGCCTTCGGGAAAGGCATTTACACGACTTTCGTTACTCTACTGTGGTGAAAATGAGTGTGCTCGAATGGTCATTGTAAACTATAAGTAAAAATAATGTCTGTGTGTGTGTGTGTGTGTGTTTCGTGTGTGTGTGTGTCAGTTTGTGTATGAGTGTGTGTGTGTATGAATGTATGTTCTTGCGTGTGTATGTGTGTGTATGTGAGTGCGTGTTTGTGTGTGTGTATGTGTGTGTGTGTGTGTGTCAGTTTGTGTGTGTGTATGTGTGGGTGTGTACGTATATTGGGTCCGACAGCTTGAGTCACGACAGCTATATCCTTGCATCATTTAAAGTTGTATAACGTTATACTTATAGCCTAATTGAGAAAATACATTATTTTCTGCAAATCTCCATGATTTCTCCATTTTCTCATTTTAAGCTGGACATGGCAACGGCAGGACAAGGGTCTCCCACTGGAGTTGGTCAGCACTGCTGTGATGGGTCTCCCACCGGGGTTTCCCATATTGAATGTGACATCAAAACAAGCAATGTTGAAGACCAGGCGGCAGCACAACAAGTGAACATGGATAAAACCAGTGAGAAACCCTACATGTGTGGGGAGTGTGGGTACAGGACAGCTAGAAAGTCCCACTTATCCCAACACATGAGAACCCATACCGGAGAAAAACCCTACAAGTGTGACCAGTGTGACTATTCTGCAGCAGAGAAATCTGACTTGAACAAACATGTAGCAACACACTCCGGTAAGAAACCCTACATGTGTGGGGAGTGTGGGTACAGGGCAAACCAAAAGTCCACCTTATCCAAACATATGAGAACTCATACAGGAGAAAAGCCCTACAAGTGTGACTATTGTGACTATGCTGCAGCACGAAAAGCCCACTTGGACATTCATCTATCAAAACACACCGGTGAGAAACCCTACATGTGTGGGGAGTGTGGATACAGGACAGCTCAAAAGTCTTACTTATACGAACATCTGCGAACCCATACAGGAGAAAAACCCTACAAGTGTGACCAGTGTGACTTTTCTACTGCATACAAAAGTAACTTAGATCAACATGTATTAAACCACACCGGTGAGAAACCCTACATGTGTGGGGAGTGTGGGTACAGGACAGGTCTAAGGTCCAACTTATCCAAACATAAAAAGACTCATATAAGAGAAAAACGCTACAGGTGTGAGCAGTGTGGATACATGACAGATAGAAAGGACCATCTATACTCACATATGAGAACCCATACAGGAGAAAAACCCTACAAGTGTGACCAGTGTGACTATTCTGCTGCAATGAAATGCACTTTGGACAAACATCTGGTCAAACATACTGGTGAGAAACCCTATATGTGTGGGGAGTGTGGGTACAGGACAGCTCGCAAGCCTGACTTATCCAGACACATGAGAATTCATACAGCTTCTTAACTCAGTTTCTAAAAGAGTAGGAAGTAGTACTCTCCAAGCAGAGGTTTGGGTTTTGGGGTATTTTGGGCGTTTTTAGGCCTTTTTTTATTGGGGTTTCTTTCTTGCACTGGAATTTTTCTGTTGGGTGAAAGAAAAATTCCAGTGCAAAAAAGATACCCCGATAAAAAAGCCTGAAAACACGCCAAAAATACCCCAAAACCTCTGCTTGGAGAGTAGAAAGTAGTCTTAAAGTTGTAAAAACGCAGACGTTATGTTGTATACGAGTAAAAGTTGTTTTTATTTTGTAGGTGATGGAAGCTCCTTGGTTATAGTTACAAATATTTTTCTGTTTAAACAATTAAATCATTATGTACCTTGAACATATTTTGTTGCCTTTTTTCTCGGATGGAATACTAGTATTGTCCGAGGTGGTGAGGTAATTATAAAACACAATAATCAAGATTTAGACCAAACAGTTCGGCTTGACATTCATTCCCTAAAATCTCTCTTTCATATTTGATCAGAAACAAAAGCCAGACGCGTGTTATGTTGTTAAGGTGGTCGGTTTGCAACGCAGAACTTTCACATTATGTGGAAAACGTAACGTTCCAACCGACGTCAAATGTACTACATGGGTAATCAGGCAGAAAACTTCACCTTTGACCCTAAAGGCGTTCACCTCTGACCTCGCGAGACGAAGGAAGGACAAAGCTGCCCGAGTTCCGGTTTACGTGAAGAGAAAAACCGTCATAGGAAGCAGGTAAGACTTAGAGACTTGCAGCAAGGTATTGTAATGTTGAGGGGAATAGTTTAAGACAATTTCTGTGGAAGAAGCACCACAGTAGGACGATTATTTGTATACATTTTTGCAACGTTAGATGTTGGAAATAAAGGGGGAGGGGGGCAAACCTAACATATGTTCTAGTACCCTTGATTTGATTAAGATTAAGACCGTATAAGACATATGTATACAGCCAGGACTGCCCAACTAGCCGGAGGCTATTATAAGGGCTAGCCCTCACAACAAGAACATAAACAAATTAGTAACAGTTGACAGTGTCGGTTACACTTCAGATAAACATACTATTACATAACAGATGTTACATAATGTTAACAAGCTATGCAATCTGGCCTAGTCACCATGGGTTTACTGTAAATACATTGTCATGTTAACGTACTATTACATAACAGATGTTGCGGCCTAACGTTAAGAAGGTATGACATCTGTTATGCCTAGTAGTCATGTGTTTACTATGATTGCATTGTGCACTATAGTGACATTGTCAATACAATTCTATAAGTATTGAACTTGTACGGTTTTACTAAGAAGTTGTCGACTGTCCAACAGTGAACAGAGACGGGGGGCGTCATAGGTTATCTGCCACGTATGACCCTCTGCTGCAATCACATGTTTCCGACGTCACGTCCCGGAAGCTGTAGTAGAAGGGTCCATTCTGTGAACAAGGCTGACGGAGTCAGTCAAAAATTTGGGGTAAGTCCCAATTCACTTGGTGTTGGTTACGTAAAGTTTAACTGTTTCCATAATGTTATATACCAACACAGATGAACTTTCATGCTAAGTTGTCGACGAATATTCATCAAGTGTTGTCCAGAGGTTGGTATCGCTAGGAGGAGCATTCCAGGTGGAGATTGCTCTGTTCAGAAAAGTTCTTTGGGATCTGGATTGAGATCCTTTCTGTGGAAGAAAGATCAGAGTAACTAGAATTCCGGATTCCCCTTGATTCCAATCTCCCCTGTGATTATGCATGCGGCCAGACACATAAAAAATTCACGTTCTTACAGACAGGCTTCAAGTTTGTAGAAATCTATTCTGGATTTTCATTTCTTTCCACCCAAATAGAGAAGACAGATGGACGAAACTGGAGACAAGCCCTTGGAGAGTGAGGAGAGCAGTTTTAGGACAACTCCCGAGTCTTGCTTTACTGTGAACAGCCAAACAGGAGAAAAGCCTGGGGAAAATACATCAGCACAACATCTAGCAACACACACCGGTAAGAAACCCTACATGTGTGAGGAGTGTGGATACGGGACAACTAAGAAGTCCAACTTATTCCAACACAAAAAAACCAATACATGTACAGGAGGAAAACCCTACAAGTGTGACCAGTGTGACTATTCTGCAACACGGAAATCTCATTTAGAGCAACATGCAGCAACACACACTGGTGAGAAACCCTACATGTGTGAGAAGTGTGGGTTCAGGACAGCTGTGAGGTCCAACTTATCCCAACATATGAGGACCCATACCGGAGAAAAACCCTACAAGTGTGACCAGTGTGACTATTCTGCTGCACAGAAATCTAACTTCAACAAACATCTAGCAAAACACTCTGGTGAGAAACCCTACATGTGTGGGGAATGTGGGTACAGGGCAGCTGAGAAGTCCACCTTATCCAGACATATGAGAACCCATACAGGAGAAAAACCCTACAAGTGTGACCATTGTGACTATTCTGCTGCACGAAAAGCTCACTTGGACATTCATCTAGCAAAACACACCGGTGAGAAACCCTACATGTGTGGGGAGTGTGGATACAGAGCAGTTAACAAACATATCTTATCCCAACATATGAGAACCCATACTGGAGAAAAACGCTACAAGTGTGACCAGTGTGACTATTCTGCTGCACTGAAAGGTACCTTAGACGAACATCTTCTGAAACATTCTGGTGAGAAACCCTACATGTGTGGGGAGTGTGGATACAGGACAACTAAAAAGTCATACTTATCTCGACATATGAGAACCCATACAGGAGAAAAACCCTACAAGTGTAACCAGTGTGACTATTCTGCAGCACACAAGTCTGACCTAACTCGACATATGAAAATTCACACGGAGGCACCAAGTCTGCAACTGTGACTATCTCGTAGTGACATTTAGTGTGCAAGATCTTCTCTTAAGTATAGTTTCTCTACTAGTATCTTCAAATCAAGATTATGGTTACATTTATTGTATAATTTTTTTTTGCAAATTTTTCCTTAGGAAATGTCATAGGCCTTTTGTCCACTGCATATTTAATCACTGTAAAACTGTGGTTTAGTTACAAGAATAATTCTTAGCCAGACAAATATACTTTCTTTAACTATCAATTATATATTTTGGAAAATAACACATCATTTGTTAACCAGATTCTTAATTTTAGAACAGTAAACTTGGTCGTATTGATCAAATGTTGTATATATGCCTAATCAGTAAGTAACATTGGTAAGTGATTGTACACAGTAGTTGAAAAGCAGCAGTTAGTGTTGAGTTGGAATGAATGTGATTGATTTCATGTTAACGGTTTGTTTGGCAAACAAATAACTTTTGACTAATGTCAACTCTGTAAACTAGCATTTGGTTCGTATTAAGATATTTGTACTGATTTGCATCAGTGTAAAATGACTGATTAACCTCAGTTTCCAACAGTAGGAAGTAGTACTCTCCAAGCAGAGGTTTGGGTTTTGGGGTATTTTGGGCGTGTTTTTAGGCTTTTTTATTGGGGTTTCTTTTTTGCACTGGAATTTTTCTGTTGGGTGAAAGCAGAAAAATTCCAGTGCAAAAAAGATACCCCTTTCAAAAATGCCTGAAAACACGCCAAAAATACCCCCCAAACCCAAACCTCTGCTTGGAGAGTAGTAAGTAGTCTTACAGTTGTAAAAACGAAGACGTTATGTTGTATACGAGTAAAAGTTATTTTTATTTTGTAGTTTTTCGAAGTTATAGTTCTAAATCATTTAATTGTTTAAACAGAAAATATTTGTAACTATAACTTCGAAAATGTTAGTTCTAAATCATTTAATTGTTTAAACAGAAAATATTTGTAACTAACATTTTCTTTTTAAACAATTAAATCATTATGTACCTTGAACATATTTTGCTGCCTTTTTTCTCGAATGGAATGGAATATGGAACACAGAAGTCAAGATTCAGACCAAACAGTTTGGCTTGACATTCATTGAATGATTCCCTAAAAACTATCTTTCATATGATATCAGAAACAAAAGTCAGACGTCGTTGGGGGTAACGTGCCAACCGACGTCAAATGTACTACGTGGGTAATAAGGCAGAAAACTTCACCTTTGACCCAAAAGGCGTTCACCTCTGACCTCGCGAGACGACGGAAGGACAAAGCTGCCCGAGTTCCGGTTTACGTGAAGAGAAAAACCGTCATAGGAAGCAGGTAAGGCTTAGAGACTTGCAGCAAGGTATTGTAATGTTGAGGGGAATAGTTTAAGACAATTTCTGTGGAAGAAGGACCGCAGTAGGACGATTATTTGTATACATTTTTGCAACGTTATATGTTGGAAATAATGGGGGAGGGGGGCAAACCTAACATACGTTCGACCCTTGATTTGATTTGATTTATTAGACCGTATAAGACATAATATATACAGCCAGGACTGCCCAACTAGCCGGAGGCTATTATAAAGGGCTAGCCCTCACAACAATAACATAAACAAATTATTAGTAACAGTTAACAGTGTCGGTTACACTTCAGATAAACATACTATTAGTATTACATAACAGATGTTACATAATGTTAACAAGCTATGCAATCTGGCCTAGTCACCATGGGTTTACTGTAAATACATTGTCATGTTAACGTACTATTACATAACAGATGTTGCGGCCTAATGTTAAGAAGGTATGAATTCTGTTATGCCTAGTAGTCATGTGTTTACTATGATTACATTGTGCACTATAGTGACATTGTCAATACAATTCTATTGAACTCGTACGGTTTTACTAAGAAGTTGTCGACGAATATTCATCAAGTGTTGTCCAGAGGTAGTCTGGGTTCCATCCTGGTTAGTTTTCGTCCGCTCCCACAGTCGCTACCACTGGTTGGTGGTATATATATTCCGAAACATGTAATCACAAGACGTGGTGACGGCTCACTCAAGTTTTTTCAACTTATATTAATGCCGCCACCAACACAGGGACAGTACAATTACTCATTTTCACATGAGCGAAGTGAGGAAAGTCGTGTAAAGTGCCTTTCCCAAGGGCACAAGATCGGTGGCATGTCAGGACTCGAACCCGGGGCCTCTGGTTCCGAGTCGAGGACGCTGCCGCTACGCCACACGACCCCACTGGTTGGTGGTAGCGACTGTGGGAGCGGACGTAAACTAACCAGGATGGAACCCAGGCTAGTCCAGAGGTTGGTATCGCTAGGACGAGCATTCCAGATGGAGATTGCTCTGTTCAGAAAGGTTCTTTGGGATCTGGATTGAGATCCCTTCTGTGGAAGAAAGATCAGGCCACACCAATTTAATTTCTTGGTTAACGGATTTTTCTAGAAAAATAATGGAGCGAGCGGGCGAAAAAATAAAAACAGGCCTAGGCATCCTATTATGGCCCAAAATGGTACGATAGGAGCCATGAAGTCAACACACCAGGCTGTTCAAAATTTAAACAATGAATTTTGAACTTTTAATGATACGATTGCATTGAAAGATGGAATGACTGTAACAAGTATTAAGAAAAGGACAGTTTTCAACTGTTCAGGGCAAAATATGAGCATTTTACAGTTGATTCTGAATTTTTATTTTTATTTGCAAATCAGAAAAAAATGAAGCGGCGAATCTGTTAACCAAGAAATTAAATTGGTGTGGCCTCAGAGTAACGTTATGATTTGTTAAGGTTACGATTTTTTTCTAGATATGATTTGGTTTCAAAATATTTCCTGAGGACTTCGCTCTGACAAATCGTGTATTTTACTACTAATATCAAGTTGTTTATGTATTTAGATTTCAACACTTTGGTAGGACAATAGCTAAACATAACATTATGTACATTAAATGTCACACCGTAACCGTGATTACATAAGGAGAGGCTTTCTACGTACTGCCACAAAGGTTTGACACTTTTACAGTCGAAGAAAAAAAGTAAGTAGTAATCCTTCAGCCCTAATTTATTCTGGATTTCTGTTTCTTTCCAAACAGTAAAAAAGAGATGGACGAAACTGGAGACAAACCCTTGGAGAGTGAGGAGAGCAGTTTTAGGACAACTCCCGAGTCTTGCTTTACTGTGAGCCATACAGGAGAAAGGCATGGGGAAAATGCAATAGCACAACATCTAGCAACACACACCGGTAAGAAACCCTACATGTGTGAGGAGTGTGGATACGGGACAACTAAGAGGTCCAACTTATCCCGACATATGAGAACCCATACAGGAGAAAAACCCTACAGGTGTGATCAGTGTGACTATTCTGCGGCACAGAAATTTAGTTTACACATTCATTTAGGAAAACACACTGGTAAGAAACCCCACAAGTGTGACCAGTGTGACTATTCTGCAGCACGGAAGTCCACCTTAGATGATCATAAAGCAAAACACACCGGTGAGAAACCCTACATGTGTGGGGAGTGTGGGTACAGGACAGCTTACAAGTCAGACTTATGCCGACATATGAGAACCCATACAGGAGAAAAACCCTACAAGTGTGACCAGTGTGACTATTCTGCAGCACGAAAATCTGACTTTGACAAACATCTAGCAACACACACCGGTGAGAAACCCTACATGTGTGAGGAGTATGGGTACAGGGCAAATCAAAAGCAACACTTATCCAAAGATATGAGAACCCATACAGAAGAAAAACCCTACAAGTGTGACCAGTGTGACTATTCTGCAGCACGGAAATCCACTTTAGATGATCATAGATTAAAACACACTGGTGAGAAACCCTACATGTGTGGGGAGTGTGGGTACAGGACAGCTTACAAGTCAGACTTATGCCGACATATGAGAACCCATACAGGAGAAAAACCCTACAAGTGTGACCAGTGTGACTATTCTGCTGCACAGAAATCCACCTTAGATAGTCATAGATTAAAACACACCGGCCAAAAACCCTACAGGTGTGAGGAGTGTGACTATTCTGCAGCACGAAAATCCACCTTAGATAATCATAAAGCAAAACACACTGGCGAGAAACCCCACATGTGTGGGGAGTGTGGCTACAGGGCAACTCAAAAGCCACACTTATCCCAACATATGAGAACACATACAGGAGAAAAACCCTACAAGTGTGACCAGTGTAGCTATTCTGCAGCCTCTAAGTCTGCCCTAACTCAACATGTAAAAATTCACACGGAGGCACCAACTCTGCAACTGTGACCATCTCGTAGTGACATTTAGTGTACATAATCTTGTCTTAAGTATAGTTTCTCTATCTTAATACCAAGCTTACGGATACGGCACAATAAGTTTGAAAACATTTAGGATAGCTAGATTACTGATTATAAGGTATAATATTTGCAAGCCATAGGCAAAAGATTTTCCTTATGTGTTATAGTCTGTCACTTTTGTCCGCTGTATTTGTTATCACTGTAAAACTATGGTTTAGTTACAAGAAAAATTATTAGCCAGCCTAATGTGCTCTGTGCAAGTATTGAATATTTTTGAGAAAGAAAACACAACATGTTTTTTTATATCGAAGCTTGTTGTACATGTACATAAGTTGTAATTAACACCATTAAATGAGTGGATTAACATAATGATGATGACTAGTTTATCATTATTATTCACATAAACATATACAGGTTAAAAGTCTATGGTTGCCTAAATGGCTGAATTGTCGACTTCTTAGCAATTTGAAGAATATTATAGTATAATAATAAAGTCAGACTTACACTACATATACTTGTGAATTTAGTTGTGATATACAATAGCATCAACGGTATAAGAAAACAGTTTGGCCATGTATAACATCCGGTATATATGTTACAGCTTAATATCGGAAAACTTACATATCGTCCAGCAGCTAAGTCTGCTTTGTCATATAATAGATCGAGCTCTTTGTACATCGAACAGTTCTGGGTCTGAGAGTTTGTACTAGCTATTTGCTGCTTCAATCTCTTTTACATTAGATCAAAACAAAAGTCAGACGCGTGTTACGTTGTTAGGGTTGTTTCGTCTTAAAGACAGAACGTTGGCAATAATGATAATGACTTTATTAGCAAAAAGCAGACTTACTGAATACATAGTAGAGTCTGAAGTATTATGCTAATTTACATCTGACATCTTTAAAATCAATTACAATATTCGGGGTTTTTCTTTTGCACTGGCTTTTCCCCCCACCAAACCCAACTGGGAAAAGAAAATCAAGTGCAAAAGAGAAACCCCGATAAAAAAGTCTAAAAACACGCTAACATGATGTCAACGTTTACTCTCTTCTTGGAGAGTAAACGTTGACATCATGAGAAAAGCGTAACGTGCCACCCGACGTCAAATGTACTACGTGGGTAATCAGGCCGCTAATTTCAACTTTGACCCAGGTATTAACGACCTCTGACCTCACGGAACTGCAGAAGGACAAAGCTGTCCGAGTTCCGATTTACGTGAAGAGAAAAACCATTATAGGAAGCAGGTAAGGCTTTGACACTTACAGCAAAGTATTGTAATGTTGAGGGGAATAGTTTGACAATTTCGGTGGAAGAAGAACCGCAGTAGGGCGATTATTTGTATACATTTTTGCAATGTTGTATGTTGGAAATAAAGGGGGGGGGGCACGCGTTACGTAACATACGTTCGACCATTTTTTGCCACAACTTGCATCAGGCAAGGTGGCCTATCTAGGGCGTTGAATAATATGTAAGTATAGGATTAGGAATGTTGACTAGGTTTTAAAGAAACGCAGTAGGACGATAATTTGTAGACATTTTCGCAATTTTATATGCTCGACGTAAAAGGGGAGGCGAAGGTGATTACAAGGTGTTATGTAAGCAATTAGAGGGTGTTATGTAAGCAAATTTGAATAGAAGTAGCCTGGTATCCAGTCTGATCGTGGTCAGGGCCGGAAGAGCTCTGTCCCGCCCGCCTCACATAGGGTTCCCGGTTGTGTTTCACGAGAGATTGATTAGCCCTTCCCCAAGCATACTGTCTCTTATTAGCGTAACACTCCTACTGGGACGGTCTGTTGCACTGGGCGGGGGAAGCTATTAGAGCCCCCGAAGGCACAACCTGCCTGAACACCCCAACACCCCCTATCACGATCAGACTGGATACCAGTCTAGAGTAGAAGGTGTTATATAATATATAAAAACAACTTTGAGTAGAAGGTGTTATATAAGCAACTTTGAGTAGAAGATGTTACATAAGCAACTTTTGTCTTTTTGTCCAGTACTCAATAAATATAT